TATCTACTTGCTGGATGATCCCCTCTCCGCCGTGGATTCGCACGTCAGTAGACGTCTTGTAGACAAGTGTATCTTCGGCTATCTAAAAGTAAGACTCGCAAAATATTCATATTCCCACATAACACAGTTCACCGAGTGATTAGAATGTCCTAAAATGTCCTAAGGGTATCCTCTAGACATCCTTAGGACATCTCTTGGGTAGCTTCTTGTGATTTCAAATTTTAATTATTTTATTCAACAATTACCCATCAGGGAAAAACGAGAATTTTGGTGACGCATCAGCTGCAGTATTTGCAGCTCGCCGATCAGATTATTGTGATGAACAACGGTAGTATCGAGCAGAAAGGTACATTCGACCAATTGCAAGCATTGGGCCATGATTTTATGAAGTTGGTGAAGGCGGCAGACACGAAGGACAAAGAGATTGAGCGTAGACAGTCCGAGATGCAGCGTCAAATTTCGATAAAAGCTGAAACGAAGGATCATGGGGACATCTTGCCGATTGATACACAGGAAACGCTGGCAAAGGGTCACATATCTCGCAAAACATTATTCGCTTACTTTAAGGCGAGTAAGAGCCCTATTATGATCACATTGATGATGTTGATCTTCTTAGCGAACCAAGTAGTATCCGGTGGTAGCGATTACTTCGTCGCGTTCTGGGTAAACGTCGAATCTAGCTCGTGGCATGAAATGGGTAATTCCACCTGGGACTTTCAGTGGGAAGGTCCACTGTCTCGGGATTCCATGCTCTACATATACACCGCTATGATAGCGGCCATCATACTACTGTGGCTATTCCAAACAATCGTGTACTTCAATGTATGCATGTGGTCCTCGATAAATCTCCACTCCGCCATGTTTCGCAGTATATTGCGTGCAACCATGTATTTCTACAGTACTAATCCAGCTGGCCGTATATTAAACAGGTAAGTGTAGGAGGGCATATGGCAACTAATTAAACGTACGTCTAATTTTTCTTCCCCTCTCTAATACTGTTAAAAATTTTTTTTATTTAACTATAATTATTATAGTATTTTTTTATTTATTATCATTTATCGTTTATTTCTAACAACTTTTTAATAAAGTGACCTTAATTTAATCTAAAAAAAGAGAAACATTTTTTATTTTAGATTTGCCAGGGATATCAATATTGTCGACTTATTGCTGTCAATGTGCGTATTCGACATCATAGTAATCGGACTCATCACGATCACGGTAATACTTATGGTCATAGCGGTTACCCCATGGCTGGCGATACCCACTGTGCTTTGCGTTTGCATTTTCATCTATCTTCGAATGATATATATCAGTACTAGTCGCAGTATCAAGCGCCTCGAAGGGACAAGTAATTCATGCAATATTTACAGACAGCAATATTTGTAACCAGCGAGAAGTTACTAACGATCTCTCTTTTCGATCATTCTTTGAAATCGTTTGCATGCTGAACTAATTAATTTATTTATGTTAAAGTTGTTTTCTTCAAATTAGATTTCGGATTTTATTTTTATCCATACAACACAGAAGCTTGCAGCAGTATTGCTGCAACACTGAAATATTTTTAGACTAATCTGTGCTGTATGAATTAACGAAAATTAGAATAAATAATATAATAATAAAAAACAACTTGCTCAGCACGATCGCCGATTTTCGACCTCCTCGGAGCATCTCTACAAGGTCTGACGACAATTAGAGCTTCCAACGCCGAAGAGATACTGATGTCTGATCTGTGCGTTCATCAGGATGTCCATACGTCCGCTTGCTTCCTCTTCCTGTCCACTTCTCGAGCATTCGGCTTCTACATCGATGTGATTTGCCAGCTTTACATCGGGGCAATAATTATAGCTTTCACGGTTGTTGACGGATTGGCTGTTGTTAGTAACATCGGTCTGCTAATCACGCAAACTATGGCGTTGACAAACATGCTGCAGTGGGGAATTAGACAAACAGCCGAACTGGAGAGCCAGTTGACCTCTATAGAAAGAATACTCGAGTATAGCCATTTGGAGGAGGAGCCGATGATTGATAGCAAACCGGATGTCAAACCGCCGGACGATTGGCCTACAAAGGGTCTTGTGAAGTTTAAAAACGTAAACTTAAAATATAATCCTCGAGGCGTTTGCATCCTCAGGGACGTCAGTTTCATCGTCATGCCAAAAGAGAAGATCGGTATCGTTGGCAGAACTGGCGCGGGGAAGTCATCTGTGATCAACGCTCTCTTTCGTCTGGCCTGCGTGGAGGGTGAGATCCTCATAGACGATGTATCTACCGGCGCTATCGCCCTGCACGACTTCCGCTCGAAGATCAGTATTATCCCTCAGGAACCATTCCTGTTCACCGGTAGTCTACGACAGAATCTTGATCCCTTCGATCAGTATTCCGACGCCATACTATGGCAAGCGCTCGAGGACGTCGAGTTGAAGGAGACGATTTCTGAGATGGCTGCCGGATTGAACACAAAGGTGTCCGATGAAGGATCGAACTTCAGCGTCGGCCAGAAGCAACTACTGTGCCTCGCGCGCGCTATTGTTAAGAACAATCGGATTATGATACTAGATGAAGCAACTGCCAACATCGATCCTTATACGGATTCCCTTATACAAAAGACAGTTAGAACGAAATTTGTAAACTGTACTGTGTTTACCATAGCTCACAGATTGAATACCATTATGGACAGTGATAGAATATTCGTGATGGATGCTGGGCATCTTGTGGTAAGTACAAATCAATAGCTAAATAATTAAAAAGGAACACGATTCCGATAACTTTAATGCTACAATTTATGTGTGGTTTAAAGAAATAGATAGCAAGTGTTTTAAATCACAAAATTTTTAGATTTCGGAATTTCTTTCTCGATACAAGCACTTTATAAAACTATTATAAATGATGATTTTAGGAACTTGGCCATCCGTATATCCTTTTACAACAAAAAGGATATTTTTATAATATGGTACAGCAGACTGGTGCTGTTATGACCGAAAATCTTGTTGATATAGCTACGAAGGTAAGCAGTAATTAAAATTTAACGACAGTATCGTATCATAAAATAATAAAGTATCCATAATTATTTTCATCCAATATTATTATTGATTTCGCTTTAGAGATAGAATTAAATATTTAATTATTTGTCAAAGAAAAGTTAATGAAGCATTGGAGTTATTCTCATAAACTTTGTTATTAATAAATTATTGTGACTTTTTTTATAGAATTTCTACAAAACGGATAGATCGCCATCCAGATAATCACAATTTTCATTACAATTATGTGCCAAAAGGATGCAAACAATTGCATTCGACGAGCACATTAAATTGAATAATCTATTAAAGATGTATGTGTTACATCTTAAAACATTGCTAAAAATATAAAAAAATTTTACAGATATAAAACATAAAAATTATATAGATTGTTCTATTATTACGTTTGAATATCTACGTAAAATTTGACCATAATTCTTTTATTGATTTAAAAAATACTTAGTTTTTTTATTAGCCTTGATCGTTATATAAAATATTATGTAGTACTTACTTGTAAATTTTATGAGAAAGTAACATTAAAAATTAAATCAAATTTTAAACATATACTGATAAAAAAATAATAAATATTTGTACAAAAGTTTATTTAAATTCACTTATTCGTTTAAAAGTTATTGACCTAGAACTGCAGAGAAAAATATGGTCATTGCTGCGTAAAATCATTATAAGCAAAATTATTTGTTGTTTTTTGCAGTTGGTCAGAGCATATTCATGGGCTGACATCAAAATATTTTCAACACTGATATTAGCTTATTTTGATTGTTGTAACTGATATTTTTAGCTGATAATATACAGCCAAAACATACTTAATATATAAAATATATACGTGTATTTTACATTAATAGAATTATTTTCTGTTAATTGTTCTTGTATTTTTATCTTTCAGTATTCATCTTTTACACTTTTATTGTCTTTTCAAATTCGTACCTTTTTCAAGATCCGTAATATATCGAACAAATTTAAAATAAAACGTAAACATGAAATTTTATACGAGTATACTTATGTAGAGAAATAAAACAATCAGAAACACATTTTTGTTTTTTTTATCAAATAAATGTTTTTAATTTTATGTTTGTTGCTATCCGTCTTTATTGTATAAAAACTTTATTATACAATTAATGCAATATAGACAGGAATATATTCAAAACTTTTTTTATTTGTCTGTGTAAATACAAAGAGATAATTTTGTTAATATAAATTCTTTGCATTCACACAGTCAATTAATACATACGATACGTTTCTATTTCTAATATACATATATAATAATTATCTAAAAAATCGTATATATAATTGTACGATTCGATGCCAACGAGAAACATAATTAGCAACATTGTATAAGTACTCAAAACGATTATTATAATTGTTATATCGTAAAAAGTATTTTTTAATTATCGTTCTTATTTACGAAGAGATTTTACACCATATTTTGATCGCCACAACAATTAAGATAAATTTTGTTACAACATTATGATACACAATAGATTTTGATTTATCAAAGGAAGTATGATAAAAAAAATGTGAAGTCTTTCGTATCTGTAGTATTTTCAGGGTTTGATAATAAATACGACAATAGTTGCATATTATAGAATTCCAAACTAAACCGCATTAGATCGATTTTATGCGTATGACGTGACCGCGATGCATTAAAATTCGTTGTAAAAATCCAATTTTTTAATATGATATACGTAAGTAACGATAACATTTGTAATGCTGTGAGATAGGTGTTATTTGTATTAGTCATGGTGAACAATTTATTGGACGCTCTCTTTTTTTATTTTTTTTATTTTGGACACTACCCGTCTTCTTTCTCTTTCTCTGTTTCAATTAATCGAAAAATAATTTAAAAAATCTTTATTTTATAAAACGCAATTCGTGAAAAATTTCTTATCCTTAATCATTCAAGAAATATTTTATCCCTGAAATTTTATAAAGTAAAATTTTATAAAATTTTATTTCGTTGTAAGATATCCATATCTTTAATGATGTTTAATGAATAAAAGTATAATCTCATATATAAGAGAGCCTATTATTTCAACCGAAAGACTCTCTTACTTATCCAATTTTATAACAAACGCTTCTCCAGGGGGGACGGTAAGTTCTTTGAAGTACACATTCCGATTTATTCTGTAACTTGGTCCAACAACAACGTAACCACCGTAATAAAGAAATGACAGATCCTTCACGCGCGTCTCGTTGCCGAAATTGGCCACAAACACATAGGAATTTCTTCGTGGATACCATCGCTCAATCACGATCATTTCATCTTCCACATATCTAGACAGAAGAATATTAAATTAAGTTATCACATACATAACATTTTACACCATTATTATATAATAATACAATCTGTCGACAATCTAAAATTTAAAATGTAATAATTGTTCTATCTAGCAAGACAAAAATATATATTTATCATGCAAAATAAAGAAATAAAATGAATTTCTTGAGTTTTTAAAAAGATGAGTTACGTAATTATTAAAGATATTTAGACTTATAAGAGAGAGAGGAAGAAAAAATTTTAAGGAAAATCACAAATCCGAAAATTCGCGTAAACCAACGGGATTTACCTAACATCACAATTCGCAGTACTTTGATTTTCTCTTAGCACCGCTTTGACGTAAACCGGCGTAGCTTCCATTCTTAGCTTCGCCATCTCTGTAACAGTGTTTTTTAAACTAGTTTCTATAGGTTTCCTAGCTTCTGGTAGCCAAGCGGTAACTCCTGAAAGAGAAAAACTGCTGCCGGAGCCTTCTTTCTTCTCCCAATACATAGGAACCAAATTGTGCACGTGTGCCAAATCCTTATGATCTCGACACTCACAATCTTCGATACCTATCTGAGCAAATGAAAATCCGATTAATAATAACTCTTGTGTATTAAATATTTCTTGAATTATTTTAAAAAAAGATATTCACTAAAATATTGAATTACTATTAATATCTTGCATTGCAACGAAAAAAAAGATGATGATGACTCGAGAAATAAAATAAATAAATAATAATTGCGTATTTTTTAAACATAAGAATTACGCAAATATCCAGTAACCAAACTGTTTACAGAATGTCAGCAAATTGTTGTTAGCACATTTAATTAGAAAAATTCAGCAAATTTGATATCTTATTAAATTTGTGTTCTGCTGGAAGAAATCGAAGAGAACTTGTGAAACGCAGATTCTACTCAATTTTTGCTATCAATCTGCATCAAATTATGTGCATATTTTCTCAGTTTTTATTGCCAATCTGCTTTCAAATCATGTGAATAAATTGTTAATCATTTTTGCGACATTCTGTCGCTATTTTAATTGATATAACAGATTCTACGTCAAAGTAACCTTCCAGCTGACAACATTTATCAGTAGATGTTGTATAAAATTTAAGCAAATTTGGTTGACTAGATATTCTCCAGGCTCGTGGATCCCATTTATAATGTAATTCATACCTCATCGCCATAGAATATACTTGGCGTCCCAGGCAGCATCATGCCGAGAAGAGAAGCTGCCACACTAGCATTCTTGACGGTCATAGTGGAGGCCACTCTGCTGGTGTCCACACTACCTACGGACCAGTGAATCCACGGGTAAGAAGGTTTGTCGAAGAGCACGCCCTTCGTGATACTCTCGATCTGCGCTTTGATATTTTTCGTGCTGTTCACCAGACGAAGGGTCACGTCGATCAGATCTATCTTGGACAGAATGGAGTTCCTCGCGACAGAGGTAGCGGCGTCCAAGGCATTTACGTGACAGATGAAGATATTGCCCGGATGCAGAAGAGATCTCCAGTATCTAAGATCGCTCACAAACGTGTCTTCGTCGACGTAATGTTCCAGTCCCTTCAGATAGAAACCGTCTACTCCTCGCTGCTGCCAAATTTTGATGGCCTCGCTAACAGGGTGCTCCTGCTGACGAGCTGAGTGACCGGAGGGAAACGTTTCTCTCTTTATTTCCTGCAGCGGTGTCGACAGGGCGTCGCGGATTGCGTCGACCGTGGACGGCGCGGACGGCAGTATGTCATGAATTATTGCGTTATTCGCGAGATCTTGTCTCTCCCGAGGCGTACGTTCAGTCTCGTTCGCCTTCGCTTCATTCAAGCTCTTCACAAATGGATATAAAGGCAAGTCGAGGACTATACTCATATTTCGCCTGTGGATCTCGCGGACGAGAACGGAGAAGTCTCCCAGTGTACCCAACTCCTTGTTCACATCTGTCATGTTGCTAATGTCCGAATAATATTCCGGGTAATGCGGTGCCGGAAATATCGAGTTGAGTCGTATGGTCCGTATTCCGAAATTCTTTAAGTAATCTAGCCGCATAATTATCCCTCGCAAATCGCCGATCCCATCGGCGCTCTTCGTTGAGTCCTGAAAGGACGCCGGGAATATTTCGTAGAAGGTACTGCCTTGCCACCATTCCACCGGTGGGTCGCATCTAACATGCAAATAATTCATGTGAAATTATACGTAATGAAGAATTTTGTATTTGTATTAAAAATATCCACTTATGTCTTTCTTAAAATTTTGTGTTGAATTTTTAACATATCCGCGTGTTAATTTAACAAATATAACTGTGGTTATTGTTATTTATATATTTTGTGTTAAATTAATATTTCTTCAATATTTCTTAGTGTCAAAACAACATAATATGAAAAAGTGAACAAATAACATAAACTTTTCAAATTTTCAATATTATATAAACTTTTCAATTATACACGTTTTAAGATTAATTATACAATTTAAAGATCATCTACTTATTAAAATGCTATTCATTATATACTTTCTGATAAAATGTTTATGTTCGTATTTATATGTGAGTATACTATACGCAAATTAAATTTAAGTTAAATAAAATATTAGGTATACATTATATGAAAGTTAAATTTGAATTAGGTAACATTATTTATTCAATTAACATTATTTTACTCATAATTTTTAGGAAAGAAAAATTTAAATTAAAATTTTTATTGTATAATGATGTAGAAATTACATAAAGTGACAAAATGCAAAATACTCACAGTTATCAGAAAAAAATTACTTCAACTAACTTTTCCGGAAAAAAATAGTTCATATATAATTAAACATAATATTATATAAAATTATATATAAGTATATGAAAAATTGACATATTTTATATACAATTGTATATAATTATATATAAAATATGTCCATATATATAACATTTTTTGCTGTTGCTGTTTAATTTATAACCACTTTCTGATATTGAGATTATCGGGAATTCTCTTGAGTACAATCGTTCTTCCTGATTTGTATCATTCACGAGCTTATTCGTACAGGTAAACATGTATAACATGCGTACATACTTCTTAGGCATTGTAGCGATAATGCCGATAACAAGAGCGGCACATCCGGTCAGAATCGACATCAATGACCAGTAGCATGTCTTCCGTATCAATGGCCAGTTCCACTTCATGAAACGATAATCTTTGGGCGGCTTCGGCACTACCAGTTGTATCCCAACGAGTGGTGGTTTGCCGCCGTTCTCCTGGTTGTAAAACTAAACAGTTAAGACATAAATATGTATGATGATTGTTAGAAAGCGGCAAGCGATGAATTTTAGTCAACGTGAGATTGTTGAAAATTAGGAATCCTCTTGAATTTCATTTCAAATGTGGAAGAGCAAAGGCACATACATAAATCGAACATTCATATAAGTACACCTACCTACATTTCTTTTAAATCTCCGATGACACAGTAACGAAATGTCAATCCTAGGGTGACCAGATCCGGGAACCAGGCGTCCCAGTTCTCGAGGATAGGTCCTCTTTCACAAGGAGTCCTCGGACGTTTTTGCAGGTTTCTTTAGATTCAGCCTAATATTTTATATTCGAAATATATCCGCGATTAAGAAATTAATAAAATATACAGAATGAGAAACTAACTTTATATATTCTAAAAGATTTCTATTAAATGTACACAGTTAAATACTTGATCATATTTATTAATTTATATCAGCTAAATTTTTATTGAATATTTCCATAAAAATTAAAGTAATTTGAAAAATTAATTAAAAAATTATTATTCATTTAAATTAAATTAATAAAAAATGTGTAGCTCCATATATAATAAATATATAAATAATATCTATCTTTTTTATCATTTTATTGAAAAGATAAAGTGAAAGTTAATGCCTAAGTTCTCCCTATGTTGCATGTAGCTCTCTTAATTGTATACGTCATTTCATATGGTCACCCTAGTCGTATCTTATCTGCATTGTGGGTTTCTATATATACAAGCAGCTGAGATGATAAAACGATGAGAAAATACGAAGTAACAACTTAGTTGGTCTTAGTTAAAAAGATACAGATTGCGGGTGTGTGAATACAATCACGACTACGTGAATGCAATCACAAGGTAGCATCTTTCGTGCACATGTGATATATTTAATAAAGTATCTTTTCTCAGTGTCAAGCAAATGTAAAAATATGTAATGTATGAAGTAGCACAGATGCCCGTTGCTTTTGCAAGTAGCATAGACGGAATTTGTGAATTTTGTGATAAACATACAATACATTAAGCACAATAGGCACATATACACGTACATATAAGTAATAATAATAGGCGCAAAATTAAATAATTTGGAATATACGAAAAAAATTATAAATCATTTTTAATATTCCAGAACTAGATTATTAAACAATAAATATGTAAAAAATCTCGAAAGTTTTGACATTTTAATTCCCTATTATACATACACAAATTTACAGACATAAATAATAATTTTATTTAAAAAAATTTTTAATTATATATTCAAATATTTATAAAAGATTTTTTTAAGACACTCAAAACTCTCGAGAATCTTTAACATTTTAAGGAATTTCCAATTTTTAATATTTAAATTAATGTGTTATTGAATCGTTCTTTACATTAATTTTATTTTATATTTGAAAAATCCGGGAGAGAATGAGTCTTTAAATTCCGATACTTACTAACGCTTGAGCATCTGGTGCAAGATGTTGATAGGCAGTATTCAATTGTGTCAACAATTGTGCGCAAACGGGTTCGTTTGTGTCACTGCTACTACCGCTGCTAGTAGACTCCACCATGGGATCACGTGAACTCGGTTCTGAAACATTACGATGCGACATGCAAGCTTAATCATTTAATATCCCCATACAACGCTATTAAAACTTTCTGAAGAAATTATTTTTATATTACGAAAAAATGATTAAAAAGATTATGATTCGAATTAATCATATGATTAAATTGTGTTTGAATAATTCAACATGTTTCTGTATTTTTAAACAAAGTAAATCTTAAAACAGAAAGATTTAAAATATTTTTTTTATTTGTATACAACCAAATGGGATGTTGTCATCTTTTCAATTTAGGCAATTTTAATATTGAATATAAACAAATTAAATGCCAGTCGTGTGATAGAAATGACTGATTGGATCATCGTTTAAATTGAAATTGGATCCTATTATCAAAAGCGCTTTAATAAACGAGCATCGACGTTACATACAGAAACATGATTACGTAAGCTTTTTAGCTTAAGAACGTCACTCAACGAATATTTCATATTTAAAGAAAAGAAATCTTCGTTTACAATTAATAAATAATTTACAAATAATAAATATAATTTGTACATCCTCCTCTTCTTTTCGTTTTTGATTTTATATTTAGTACATAATTGTTACAAAATTCTATTTTATTATTATAAATTAATTGCTAAATTCATAATCTATATAATAATGATAAAAAGAAAATACAAAGATAATATTATGTACATACAGATAATGCTATTGAAATCACATAGTGTCATTAAAGGTAATGCATACTTAATTGCGTGCCGTATTGTAATAGGTAGAAAATACGTACCATCATTTAAAGGTTTACTCGAACTATTCACAATATTCATGAAGTTAAGTCCGTCTTCTGTATTAATATTTCCAAGCGTTGGCGTCGGTATCATTTCTAATGGAGTTCCTTCCAGAGCATTGAATATCGGTGTTGATTGTAGAGTCTCGTTGGTTTGAGTAGGTGGTGGACTTGGTGTTAATAGAGGACAATCAGACGCTTCTTCATCCTATTAAAAACAAATGCTTATGTGAGACAAAGTTCTCAGAACGAATCTCATAGAACAGAAAAATGCCATTTGTTTCTCTTTAATTGCAAAATATTATGCTGCATTATTGCATCTTTTTAAAAAATGCACTATCATCTTTCGAATTATTATATTATTATGAGAATTAGATTTTAGTTATGATAAGAATCATATCACAGATTGAACACTGAATTAACAGAACTTTTGTTAAGAAAAGGATTTCTAAATTTATTTTTAGAAATGAAAAACGCTACAGTTTCTAATAGTAAAATGAACACACCTGTTGATCTTGATTTATAAACAGCTGTCGGGAATTCGAAGACGGCGGAAGTTCAGATGATATAACAATAGATAAAAGGTCTTCGGGCTTCTGGATACTCATCTCTATTACATAGATATTATATACATATCGTATACTTTTATATACATTTTTATAAATGTTTACACATGCTTTATTTTGAAACATCTGCAGGTTCGGACTTAACAAATTGTTGAATAAAATAGTATAAAATAGTTTTAATAATATTTCGGTATTTCAAGTTAATTGCTGTCGGAAATAAAGTTTAAATTGTTTATGATTTTATAAAATAATGGTAGGATTTTACAAAAATCCTTTTTTTATTCTATAAATCAAATTTCATAGGATAAAGAGAATATATGTTCTTCTTTTTTTTTTAAATTGTTTTCTAAACTCAATTTATTCTTTATTTTTAAATCCGGATAAACGCACGTATTGCGCCTGATTGCGCCTACATGTTGATGTATAGAAAGAGTATACAAGAAGGGTGAGTGGGTGTATATCGACGTATTTTTCATTATTGTGCGTCTATCGTGCAGAATATTACCATTTGAGCACAATGCTTGCAGTATCGATCAATAATCGTAGAAGCCGGTTGTGTCATTGCATTATCTGTTCATAATATTGTCAGTCTTAAATTAAGAATTTCATTTTCTAAATTTTGTATTTTTGATTAATATCTCTTTTTCGTATAAAGATAATAGGACAGTTTTTACTTAACGATTTTAATCACTCTATTTTGAATAATAATAATAATTCTTAATTATTTAATAAAATAATGACTTAATTTAATACCTTCCATGCGGCAGTTTGAAAGATTGCAAATGTACCTCAAGAAATATTACTAATCTGAGCACTCAAAATGTCTTACTCGGAGATTAATTCCATTCAGCAAAATGATAATAAACGGCACATGGATTTGCAGCTACGAGGTCGGCATTGAAAACCGAGATACAATACACGAGCAAACGACATGAGTAAACTTAACGGTAAGTAATAATCGTAAAATTTACATTACTTGACTTGGGATGTTTCATAATTGCAAACATAAATCAATATATATTTTTTAAGACTTCACGAACAAACATAAATTAAAAGTGTATTTTTTAAGACTTCTCGGACAATCTTTTTTGATTGATTTAAGAAATTAGGCAGAGATATTTGTAATCATGCTAATAATAATATTAATAAAATAAAACTCGAAACTAAGTAAATAAAAGGGAGAAATAATTTTCTTGGCTCAAAAAGTAAAATTCAGCAATATACTATTAATATAGTTATTATGCGTAAACTTTATAAAATCTACGAGATAATATTTCAAATTATAATTTAAAAATGTGATGATTTTAAATTTATTTATTTAATTTAATATCTTAATTTAATATCTTATTCCTCTAACAATAAACATCTAAAATATGTAATTTTATAAATATTTTATAGATTATTTTATAGATCTTTAAAATATATATTTCATATATACACAACAATAGTCAGAATTTTTAAAACAATTAAAAACTATATCTAAATAAAGCTATTAAAAATATTTACTAATTATTAAATATTAATTAATCAATTTCCAGAAGACTTGAATTTAATTTTTCAAAATTAAAGTTTACAAAAACATTTTCTTATACAACTTATAAGTGTACTGTTTAGTTTTTTAAATACACATAATTAAGATTCTCTTTCGTACACTATGTGCATGTGTCAAAGTATGATTTTAAAAGACTCACCTATGGATTGCGATTTTTGATGACGACGATAATCGATCGAGTTCCGTAAGAAGCTCCGTCAAAAATATCGCAAACCCCCTGGCAAATCGCACTTGGGGGATTCGTCGGACGCACCTGCCTGGGAAAGGCTCACTACTCCGTTTTCCACGGTCGGCTCTCGGCGACTCGAGATGCAAGATGATACTTGCGTGATTACCGTCGACGAAGGCGACAGAAGGTCGACAGTACGAACGTCAAGGGTCTCAAACGGTGACTACCGTTGCCGCCGTCGCCGTCGCCATCATGCTACTTCGCGTGTCGTGGCGGATGGTAGTAGAATCGCGTGCCTTCGTATTATATTTAGCGAAGCGATATCGTTTCGTGTTCCCCCGCTGGTCGACCGACCGTCCATCCGTCCAGCAGCCGACGTCCACGACCTCGCGATTCTGCGCTCTGACGCTGCATGCGCGCCAGTACGTCGCGACGCCGTCGTACGCCGTCACGGCGTCGCGACGATATCGGTGTCGAGGATAATTTCTCAGGTAGCACAGAGTGGCACAGAGATTTCAAAAAGAATTCAGTCGTATCAATTCCGAGTTCATTTTTAGAATGCAAAAAGAATTTTTTTCAGAACTTTTCAGAAAAAGGATTCTTTTTAATTACTAATCTGAAAATAAATTCAGAATTGATAGTATACATACGATTGAACGCTTTTATCTGGAATGTAAAAAAAAAGGAAAAATTCTATCGCGATCGGCGTTTCGGCGGTCAGAGATAAATCTTAATTTTTTTTCTAGGGCGGAAATATAAAAAATATAAATAAATATAAAAGTGTTAAAATTTATTGTATGTTTTATGTGTGTATTGTACATGTATATAAAAATTTTTACTTTTCATGTTTCCGCTCTAAAGAAAAAAATTACATAATTAATACTTAATACATGCGTCTTTCGTAGCATCCCGATGATTTTGGGCGTTTCTGCAAATTTGCTTATATAATAAAGATGAAATATCAATGTTAAAATGATGAAAAATATCAATTACAATTTAACATCAACTTTAATAGATAATAACAAATTTGATAATGTGTATGTATGTACATATAAAATACATTCGCACGAAGCGACTGGCTTAATTTGAATCTCTCAGTTTATAAATTATAAACAATAATTATTCTGAGGAATAGATTTCTGTTATTAATCTTTTCGAAGTATTGATTTTCTATACAATTTATTTAACACAAAGCCGGTTTCTAAATGTATCTACAAACGTAGTCTACAGCGTAGATAATGCGAACCAACAATTCCCTTCAAAATTCTCATTTATTCGCTGCAGCTATATTGAAATACGATATCCGATCGAATTAAAAAATCGTAAGAATTCTTTTCTTGTATTATACGCTAAAAAAATTTTTAAAAATAATTGCCAAGGTTTTTTGACTAAAATAAAATCTTCAGATTTAATTTTTGGGTATCTTTATATGTTGATAAAATTTATCAAGTAAAAAAATCTTATTTTTTAATAATAATTTTTTATAATATACATTATCATGAATAAAAACGATATAATCTTTTAGATCAAAATGCTTTATAAATAAAATTCATTACTATAAGATGTTATTAATAAGTAAAATATAGTTTTTTTTCTATTTTCCAAGTTTCTCGATAGTGCTTGTCGAACCATGTTTCAGTATATATACACCTTTTTTAAAGGTGCTTTTAACGAAGTTCCCTCGGGAAACACCGCGGAGCCACTATCGGAGTCTGCAATGACTCTTTATCGCTCTGAGGAAAGTCCCTGGACCCGTGGCAGAAAGTGCCGTAGCTTTTGGCTATCAGCCTCCGTCGTCTTCGCGAATTTCAGGAGAGGAAGTTTCGGCTGATCCTTCGCGATGGGCGTGAGAGTGTTTGTCAAAGTAAAGTAATGTGTGTTGGAACGTTTCTGCTCTTCTGAAAAGAAACGTTTGAACCGAACAGGGCTTATCGTACGAGGAAACTTCAATTTTTTTTTAAATTTGTTTGTCAACCCCAAATTGTTCTCTTCAAATATTGTAAATTTTCTTAACTTATGTTCTACCAGAAAAAAATATTTGTTTTAAATTTTAACATACTAAAAAGATTGGAACTCTCTGACGCGATTAGAATCTTCTCGCGTGTTAATATTGGATCGACAAAATATTAAAGATCAACAAATTTATAAAGTTTGTTACTATTAAAATTTGAATATATTAATTTATGATATAATATTCATTTACTATAATAAATAACCTAATATTTTGTATATATCAATGAACTCAATTTCAATTAAAAAACTATAATATTATATTATTATCATCTGAGTTTGAGTATCCATCAGATGGTTACTGCAATATTATATATATATCTATAGTCGGTATCTGCAGTTATTCCTGGAGTCTTATTATAATAATAAAGATAATTTATTATACAGGTTTGATGATCATCAACAAAATCTCATCGTGTTTAAATTAAATAGATATTTATACTCTAGTTAATTAGCAGATGTATCTATTAATAAGTTCATTCGAGTGAAAACTCGAAACTTCTCTCAGACTTCTCTCCAATTTTGCTCACGAGACGCCCTCTTCATGCCTTCCTTTACACCGCGTTAAATCACGGTGTTGCGCGATGTTTCGTTACGAGTTCCGTATCCCGCAGTATTGATGTGATTTCCATTTTAGGAAATCCTTCCCGTTTCACCATAGCATGATCAAGAAACAGCCGAGATTGGGCTTCGTGCAAACACTCAAGAAAAGTGTTAAGACTCTCCTTATCTTCGAGGGAGTACTGTTGCTGGGATCGTACGGATTTTGGCGTCGCCTGAACACTTCGCAAGGTGAATTGCTCCGCCTAGAATTACGTTACTGCCATCCGATATTCTCGAATAATTTTAACCTATTCAGACTTATTCTAGATCATGCCTTATATATTCGAGATAAAACGAGCAATGATAACGTGAATGGAGAAACGGCTAGAGTACAGCTGAAAAAAAGAATCTCTCAGTCACTTCCTATATTTAGTATCTGGCAATAAATATGACAGATTGCTGAGACTTTTCTGTACGAATTTGCATTAGGCCTGTTTTTTTTTAACTGACCTTGCACGGTTCATTTTTCCTTTTTTTCTTTTCATTTTGGAGAGAAAAAGAAAAAATGTATAAAGCAATTCAGCTAAAATGAACTGACCTTATGTAAGGATAACTGCATAGAATGGTCAAAAGTCAATTTATTTTTCCACTGAATTGTTTCCCATTTAATACTGAAGTTTACAACAAAATTGTTACGACATTTACAATGACTGTTTTAGCAGAAAAAGTAGCTTTGTAATTGTTGTAAGATTCTTTAATCAGCTGATTGATCTTGCCCTTTAATTCCTCAATGGATCTAAATGTATAAACCAATCATATATAAAAAATCTTACAGCAGTTTCAAAGCAACTTTTTCTACTGAATTCAGTCATTGTTATTGCAATATTACTACAATATTGCAGTGTTTACTACAATATTGCTTGAATGATCTGTACTATATAAATTATCTCTGCTTAGATTTTTAGCTGAACTTTTTGCACAGTTCATTTCTTTTCTCCTTTTCTCTCTAACATAAAAAAAGGGAAAAGTTAAATTATGCAAGAAGTTTATTTAAATAGAATAAATCTCTTGATTAGAACAATCCTCAATATTTCATGTGCATTAGATTTCAGATATTACGTGCATCAACATTTTCCTATAATATTGGAGGGTTACTACACTGTTGGGGAACAGTTGTCTGGCAATGATCATTTAAGGACATTTGATTACAAGACCTGGACAGAGGAGCGCAATGAGCATTAAATCTTCATGGCGTTGAAATCTATCGGGATTGCCGTAGCATCGGTAGTTATTGGCGGTGGAATAGGAAACGCTTTATTTAACCTTGTTAAGACCGACGAAAAAGATCTCATAAGGGTAATCATAATTATGTAATTGTGAAGCTAATAATATATATGTTTTTTTATTGTTTTTATATGAGTAAATACTAGTGGCAATATATTTTTCTTTAGTTGTATAATATATTTTTTAATAAAGAAAAGTCGATAATATTTACTGAACATTATAAGTAATTTTATTTATTAAAAAGTAATTTTACAAAGTTTTATGCAAAAGTTACATTTTTACTTAGGAATCTAAAAAAAATGATGGTATAATCTTTTTTTATTTGTGTTTAAATTGTTTCAGCATTTTCCTCCACATTCATCAGAAAAACATAATCTTTTTTTTCCACAATATAAGAAAAAAAGTGAGATATTGATGAACCAAGAAAGGTCAAACACAGGTTTGAAGACGTTTGAAGTTCAAAACAGTGTAAACCATACTGAGAAATAGCATTAACTAAAATGGACCCCACAGAGTTTATAGAAGAAAGTTTGCCAGATCGTATCACGAAGAGAGATCGAGAGCGAAAAAATATTATCGAAAGGCGAAGAGAAGAACGTCAATCGCTCGCCGTGGAATCCGAGCAAAGCAGCTACTTCAAAGATACATTTCACTCCTCTTGCAAGAAGATCAAGGATATGCTCGACGATGCACCCAGCACGCCGTCCTCAGCGTTGCCGGGAATGTTCGAGAAGTCAAACAAGGAAATTCAACTGCTTAAGAACTATTTATCGCAATCTAAAATGTTTCTAAAGGTTTATGACATAAGACGCGCACAAGAAAATTTGCAATCGTTAGAGAATCAAGCTTCCGAATTGGAGATGAAGCTCTTGCCTAAAAAGAAGTTTGGCTTTAAGAATCGTAGAATCGTGAAAAAGCCTTCCGACAAGGGACTTGACATCACAGACGGCTTGAAAGATCTCAAGATACCTGAGAGCATTGTGAATGGCTCGACTAAGCAGAACAATAAATTGTCGAGCAAGTACGGAGATAGTGCCTGCATGCTCCTGGGCAAGGTAAACGAACGTATAGTGTTGGACGCCGAGAATGTAAATAAGAATGACATTCTACTTTCTGATCTGGTTTGTTGTACTGTAAGGATATATGGTACACCAAGCACCCTGCATATGGTGAACCTGAAGCAATGCACTATATTAGTTGGACCGGTGACATCCTCCGTTTACGTGCACGACTGCAGTGATTGTGTATTTGCTTTCGCATGTCAACAGCTGCGATTACATTCATCGACGGACTGTACCATTTATTTACATGTCACAAGTAGGGCGATCATAGAGGATTGTACGAAGATACGTGTAGCACCTTACAACTGGTCTTACGAAGATCAGATGAGTCATTTTAATCTAGCCGGCCTTGATCCAAAGATTAACAATTGGAACTGCATTGACGACTTCAATTGGCTATCTAGTGAAAAACATTCACCGAATTGGTCGATTCTCGAACCAGAGCTTCGGGTGAAAACGTGGGATTAAAATAAATACTTGTAAAATAAAGAGGAAAAGAGCAATTAAAAGTAACAGTTGTAGCGAACATTTTATGGAACCTCATTCTTCTTTCTCCGAATATCAATTTATTTACGTAAATAAATCATTTATATATCATGCTTTTTCACAAGATGCAAGTTATATATGCAAATTTTATACATTTATTATATCTAATAAATTTACTGTTTGTCCAATATACAGGGTGTCCTGTTTTACAAATCATACGTAAATAACTTTAGAAAGATGATTAGAGAAGAATTATATATAAGAGAAATCACGGTTTTATTTTTATTTAAGAAAATAAAAATTCTTTTATAAAACTTTTAAAGTTATCTGGGTTTGTTTTTTAAAATGGGGCGACCCTTTTTATATATTAAAAACAAATATGTACATATTATTTTTGTGTTTTGCATCTTTTAATATAAGGAATCGTTGGAATCGAACTATCCCTCCTTTTTTTAAAAGAATTGTAGATATTAATATAACCTCATGTATACAATCAGATTGGCATTAGTAATCGTATTTATTTAGTTTGAATTTGTAGATAAATATATCAAAGTTGGTTTGTTGTGTATTCTCTTATATTTTTCATCTATCTCTTTCTAACATTGTTCCGTGAATATAATTTAAATTCAATTAACATTTATAATTATTTATATAAAATTCGCAATTACGTTTTACTTTAATATTACATAATTAGAATTTCTAAATACTTCACGTTTGCCACGATATCAAATTTCGCGGATCGAGGGTTATATACAATATGGCGTGTTTTGTTTTCTAATTTATTCGCTCTGCGCTGTGCGAAGAATAACCTCGAGCAAAATAGATACCCACAATCGAGTATATCCAGTTACTTCTTAGCTCGTGGTTTATTGGTTATACGTGAGTCGTGAAGTCGAAGTATGAACTGTTAAAAGAGCGCCGATACCGCTCGTGATGTCATTCTTGGTGCCGCCTGAGGTACGCGAGAATTCCTTGATAGAGATACGTATCAACGGGATATCTGGTAAAGTCACAGATTCCATGGTTCTGATGTTTGTATCGGTGCGTCGCTGATCATCGCCTAAATAACAGGCAATAAATATATTATAAATATATTCTCAACATGTTTTTTCATATTAAGAGCACTACGACTACGAAACGTGGACAAAATTTAACGCAGAGAATATAGTTACATGTCTTTGGTTTAGCCTGTAAAATTTGTGATTCATAAAATGTATATTTTAATTGTTAGGTACTCGAAATCTTGAGAGTGCTCATGCGGACAATTTGCACGTGAATTGATATGGCAATAGCATAGTGTGGTCTAGGAAAACATTTGTAACTGCAACAAGTATTAATTGCGATTTTAACAAGGTGTGTCTTTTGAAATACATATTATATTTATATACCTATTTGTGTAATGTGTATTATATAAAGTTTATTTAATGTAAGTTTCTATTTTATTTATATTTGATATATCATTGCTTGTCAGCACCATGGAGTGGTTATTCGGCAAACGTATCACTCCTGAAGAAATGCTCAGGAAGAATCAAAGGGCATTGAACAAAGCGATGCGGGATTTGGACAGAGAAAAAATGAGAATGGAACAACAAGAGAAGAAAATTATAGCGGATATAAAGAAACTTGCAAAAGATGGACAAATGGTAATCTACAACTTCTGTTCGATTGCTATTTATACAATATTATACCGTGATCTTTTTTATATTGATTGTAGGACGCTGTGAAAATTATGGCTAAAGATTTGGTCAGGACAAGGCGTTATGTGAAGAAGTTTATGTTGATGAAAGCAAATATTCAAGCAGTGTCACTAAAAATACAAACCCTACGTTCCCAAAACACGATGGCACAAGCCATGAAAGGAGTGACCAAAGCGATGCAAAATATGAATAAGTAAGTGCACCATAGTGTGTTAATAATTTTGTTTTATTAGTAAGACATTTTACTTGTGTTTGAGCTAAAAGTATAATTATTAATTACTTGCAATCATTTATTTAGCATATATATATTTTGAATAATGTCTAATCTCTATTTCTTATTTCTATTTTTTTATAGACAACTAAATTTACCTCAAATACAGAAAATATTACAAGAATTTGAAAAGCAATCAGAGATAATGGATATGAAGGAAGAAATTATGAACGATGCAATAGATGATGCAATGGAAGATGAGGGAGATGAAGAAGAAAGGTATCAAATTTTTTTTTATACATAAATTCTATAGCCGGTATTCTCAATTTTTATTTCAAGACTATCTTAAGTTGTTTATGTTTTAAGTAAGATTGCAACGACTTCTGATTGGTTTCTGACACCTTAAGACTTTACTTAAATCTTAAATATAAGAATGAACTGTCAATATTGGCCTAATAAGTGTACATTATTAAATTGGAATAAGGTCTTTATTTCTTCATTTGAATTATTGGATTTTCAGCAAATGTGTGAAATTCAAATTATAAATAAAATTACATTATAAAATATGTATTTTTTTATAAATATATGTATATGCATTGACATTTTATTTTCCCAGTGACGCTGTAGTTGCACAGGTGTTGGATGAGCTGGGTCTACAGTTGACGGGTCAACTTTCTGGACTACCGCAAGCATCTGGATCGCTAAGTGTAGCCGGTTCTAAGCAACCGGTCGCCGCTGCAGCGGGTAACGAAGAAGGAGCAGGCAATCTTGCGGACGCTGATGCGGATCTACAAGCTAGATTGGAAAATCTGCGACGCGAATAAATCAAGATTTTAAATATTATTAATTAGATAATGTATAAAAAGTGTAAAAAGAATTGGCTTTATAGTGATGAGAACAGTTTCAAAGCGGTGCGTTCCTGCTTTTAAATATATATACAATTAAATGTATATGAATTTTTAAAAAGAATTGTTTGCATACAATTTTCTTGAATGATTAGTCTTCGTATTTTTTACGCACGTTGAATTTTATAACTGCTTCTATACAGAACATTCTCTGTAAATGCCTAAGTTCATAATATTATATAGATATATACATATACATATATATTTATATACAAAAAGATACTATACAATAAAATATACGACCACAGAAAAACATATTCCTTTATTTGGATCAAATCGATATTCGGTATTGAATTAATTTTTTTTACCACAGTTATTATTTAATATTTAATTTTTATAATATTTGTACATTAATGTGTGTTATTACAATTAATATTTGTAATTGATTCTATTTCATATCTAGAAAAAAGATTGAATTTAAGGAGGGCTAAACTGATATACTAAGATTTAGATAATAAATATACATTTGAATTGTTACAATTCCAATATGGGGTTAAAAACTCCCATTCTCCTTATTTCAATCGTTCGACAAAACTCGATAACGACGTAGTAGTAACTTATCGACGCGACCCTCATTCGACATTCGATGACTTGCAAGAATTCTCGATGTTGGCGACACGGACGTTCGCGCCGGCCGATGTTCGCGCGTTAGATTACAGATATTCAATTAAATTTGTTCGATCGAGAGAAATTGGCCCGTCTAACGTGAGTGAAAAGATTGAGAAAGATATGCCAGGAGACGAAAGAAAAACGACGGAAGACTATAGTGACTCTGAACTGTTTCGAAGGTTTAATTGAGAATTGAGGTTACGGACGTGGAGGGTCAATGTGCCATCACACAAATTTCGGAAAAGAGGAGAGAGAAGAAAAATAATGATGTAATGAATCTAGAGATACACTGGTAGTGTCCAGTAATGTCTCGGCGCTAAGCCAAAAGCGTAGCGATACTGTTGTGCCTCCTTTACGCGATTATATTCACTCGCTCGTGAACGTTTGGTCACGATTGCCCTTCGGCCGCGATACCCATGTACATATGCGTGTCACCACTACGTCTACGTTGCCGTGAGGAAAAATAGCACGTGGCATCGAGATAGTTCCTCGATACAGCACGGATTGTCGGGCGCCAAATCGACCTTGCCGGGAAGTTCGGCGACGGACGAATCTCGAGGACATTAGAGGACACGACGGACGAGATTCCGAGAGGTGGTCTCGTTGCGCGATAAGATACGGTTGGATCATGATACACCGTTTTTGAACGGAAGCTCGTGACGTTCTATAAAACGTCACTGAAATTCACGAACGGTACGTACATCTCAATGTCAACATAGGGTGCTTTCCATTTAGGCTGTGTTTAAAAACTTCGTCGAATGTTAAACAAGGATAAAATAATACGTGGGTGCATCCGAGTGAAATTTTTGAACGCAGTTTTAATGATACAAATTAACGCAAATTATTCTGTCCTTGACATTCCAATAAGTAACAAAGATAGAATGGTACTCGTATCGATTTGTGTCATTAAATGAAAAGCACTAGTAGGCAAGTTTTTTAATTCATTGATTGATCAGTTACATTATGTACAAATGCAACTTTTGTGAAGCAAAGTTGTATTTGCGCATAATGCGATTGATTCATCAATGAACTAAAAACCTGTACTCACCTGTACTCTCGAATGAATTGTGTACTCTTTCCTGTTTACCATATGAAATGTACAACTTCATGTGTCTGTTTTTTTAGAACATTGACTGTTCAGTTGAAGTTCTTCCTCAAACAAGATGAGCAGTCAGCTGCAAACTAACTTGATCGCCGCTGCTATCGGAGCAACTATTGGCGTCATAAGCGCTGCTAGTATCTTTATATATCAGAAAGTCTTAGAGAAACAGCAACATTCCATGAAGAACGCCCATCTGGACGAAGTCGATCGTCGTCTCACCGAGTTGCAAACGGAATTAGAGAGATTGAGGTAATAATAATTGCTGTTCTTTCGTTGATATTTCTTTCATTGATATTTTAAGATATATGGAATGTTCCTAAAGTATTTGATCTAATTCAGTTTCTTCTGCTAATCCTGATTAAATACTAATAGTTTATTCTCAGACGTTTATATATATTTATACGTTTATATTATTTATTTATTTAATCCTTGCCTTGCAGTTTAGAATGGCTTTCAATTTATAATCTCTTACAATAATATTTTTTAAAGTTACAAAAATATTGTCGAAAAAAATTGTCTCCTCTTTTCTATCTTTAAAGGTTAAATTAAATTAAACTTAATTCTTTTCCAAGCATTACGTACATTATTTTTCCATTGTACAATTTTTAAGTATAAGAACAGATTGGAAGAACACATTTATATTTCTAGCTTTTTTATCGGGATAAGTATTAGACAAAGTTTAGACAAATATCTTCTAGGAACACCTAATGTTTAATTTAACTTCATTGGTATCTAATATATCTATCATTTTCAGAGCACAACAAAATCAACAGAGAAAGAAGAAGAAGCTTAATTCTAAACGTGAGAATGATCATACGTACACTACAACAGATAATGATACTGATGTGGATGGCTTTTCAACGGCAGGCGACGAAGAATTTTTCGACTGTTCAGACAGCGAAAATGGTATAAGTGACATTGAAAACAGGTCAGTTCAATATCTCTATCATTCAAGTGCATCGCGGTTATCGCAGCTGTAAATTTAGTTTAATGTAGCATTAATGTACATATCAAATCAATCATTTTGTATCAAAGATTTTTTTGCTTGTACACACAAGTTAATCTACAGACTTTATTTAAATTATAATTGCATGCTGAAATTTGTTGAGTCTGCTTTGCGTCTTTATTCAAAATTACAACAACTCTTACTTGAAACTTAAACGGGAAAGATTATACGCTTAGTGATGCAGGACAACTGAAGCCACCTGCACTGGATTAGACCTTTCTGTTTTCGATGAGCATCACAAACAAGGTGGATATGAAGAAAATGATTACCTTGAACTACGAGATCTCGTAGACATGTATCCAAATAGTGTAGACATAGTATGGAGATATGCCAGAAACTGTTACAAATATTCAAATTGCACCACTGACGCAAATGTAAGACAAGCTGTTGTTTGTGCAGGTATAACAAATTATGTTCAATCTTGTGTATTGTTAGTCGTTTATTCAATAAAGTCCTCATTTGTAACGAATTATTTTAGGAATTGACGCTTGCGAAAAGCTTCTCACTACACCAAATGCATATCTGCACAAATGGTGTGCTATACTTGTAGGTATAAACGGTGACTTTTTGCCACTAGCGGAAAAAATAAAAAATGGTTACCGTTTCAAGGATCATGTAATAAATGCCTTGAAGATATGTCCAAATGATGCTGATCTGCATCATCTACTCGGCAGATTCAAATACGAGGTGGCTAACTTAGGTTGGATAGAAAGAAAGGTAATGTTTCACCATGGTTTGATGTTTTTCCAAACAGCATCTCAGTTATATGTGATTAGTTATTAATCAAGATTGATCGAAGAATTTGTAACTAAAAAAAAATGTACATAGCGAGATAAATTACACAATAATTGATTATTTTCTTATGTAGATTGCTGCGACATTATTTTCGGAGCCGCCAAGTGCCTCGTATGAAGATGCGATTGATAGCTTCCAGAAAGCGGAGGATTTTTCGGCCAAAGTAAATCTGGAGAACAGGCTGTTTCTAAGCAAATCTTACATAGCACTGAGCAACTATCAACTGGCCTGTCAGTTGCTAGAAAAAATTTGTGACGTATCAGTTACAAGTAAAGACGATGAAAGGGTACAGAACGATGCTCGTCAACTCCTCGCCAAGTACTCAAGATACCAATAACGGACACATTAATTTTTATAAATCTGAGAATGTATCCATTCCATATATTACAAATACATTAATCGCGCGAACATAACGAATTCGTGGCTGATGTAACTGATTCGGGGAAAGAAAAACGTATGAGTAATTCTAATTATAGAGGGAGGGAAATACATAATACACAGTTTTACCTTGGACTTTTATACAAAAACTGTATAAAATAACTATTATTTCAAAGATAAAAAGATACAAAATAGTACGGGATGTTTTAGGAAATAACTTTGTGATGAAATACATTTTAGAATTGTCATTTTATTGTATAAATGCTGGGCCTACCATGGTTTATTCTATTCGTTATACAGACTTATAAATTTATTATGTTGGTTTTATCTTTCTATTGTCTGTTTCTTAATAAATGATATAACATTATAAATACTGTTGAGTATAGTTATTAAATGGTTACGAATTTTTTCATCAATAACTATGTCTCTTTTCTAAAGCTTTTCTCTTCATCCTTTCTTTTCCTCTCCTCTTTCTCTTCCTCTCTCCTATATATAAGTATGATTTTATTTTGCAAGTATACATAGTAAAACACATCTATAAAAAAATAAAAAAGATATATATATATATATATATATATATATAT